ACCAGGTAAAAACGGTAAGAATAAGAACCGTCACTGTACTTCTGCAAGAAGGTGATATTCAGTGCACGGAAACAACAAGACGCATCTTTCTTGGATCCAAACTCCTGAGGTTATTTCTGCCTTGGTGAATCATGTACCTTTCCTGCAGTCCTCACAGTGTTCTTACTCAACCTCCTAAAAGTTGACAGCTTTCAAGCTACAAGGGCCCAGGGTGTCATTATCATGCCGTTTCCATAAAATGAGGGACAGAGTAAATTAAGGTAATACAATTTTATCAACCTGGCTCGTTAGTGCAAAAGAAAACCAGATTCATGCACCTGAACCCCAAGGAAGTACAAGAGGTGGACCAGTAAAGTCACCCCAGCTTTCCTCCTTTATTTAGTCATTCGTTCTTTTTATGCATTTGCCTAGCTATGACGCTAATTGCATGTCTGACAGCAACTTCCACAATTTCGCATCTCTTCCTTCCCACCACGCTGTACAACAGCTAGTTTAAATTATACTCGGGATTGCGCATTTACTGCTTCGCATTATTCTATGACGTTGGGACGGAGTAAGCCATGCTCAAGCCATGTTGGAGGATGAAAACGAGATGCGCCGCTGCCAGGGAGTAACCACACGCACACTGCGAAATCCAGCTCGAACTACAGGCATGTGAGAACTTGTTTCTGCACGCATAACTTGTGTGCATGTTCTGTACGAAGCCACAAATGTCATCTGGGCCCGAGGGGCACCCATACTACGAGACCTGTCCTTACACTGTATTTCCACCATCTTCTCAACTGGATTTTCTGCAAATTTCCCCTGCAAACACACACTGGACAACACAGGAGAAGCGGGTGAGTTGGTGCACAGACCATGGTTCATCGCTGATCAATTTGCACAATTCTCCCTTCGCATGAATCAAGCATCACTTGCAAACATGAGGACCAATGAGGAACATGAGAAGCTGTGGCACAGTGCGCACTGGAGCTCACTCATCTCTAGTCCAAGCCGTAACCCAGCACAAGATTCCTCTGCTGGTAAGCCACAGATGGGTGATCTGAAGATCTCCAAATGTTGCTGAATCCCAGCTCCCATCAGCTCCAACTTGCACTGCTAGTGGTCAAAGATGAGGGGACCCACAGACCAGCCATATCTGAAGACAGCCATCAGCCTCTGCTATTGCTTGGGGGAAGTGGAATGCGGCATTTGAGAAAAGTGCTGTTGTATAATGGAGAAGAGGCCAGTTTTCCAGGCTTCTGTATGGCATTCATGCTATTAATGAATGCCATAATGTTAATGTGGGTTATATTTTTAGTGTTTTATATTTTAACTGTTGTTTTGTAAGCCGCCCCGAGGCTTCGGCGAATGGGGCGGCATAGAAATTTTTAAATAAATAAATAAATAAATAAATAAATAAATAAATATTACTCAGTGCGCGAACTAGGTTTGTGTTTAAAACAACCTCATGGATCCCCTGAAAGAGGGCATGCATCTCCACACTGGTTTTATTTACATGTATTCAACTGCGAAATTCTGCAATTTCTGCAATACACACGCATATTAGTTTTATGTCCCATTCATTCTGTCTCCCTGCCCTGAATATGCTTCTGAGGTTATCCATACGGACACCCCACCAGGAGCAGAAATGGGCCTCCCAGAAGAGCCACGGAACTAGGCAAGGCAATTTGATTCAGTCCTGAGGGGTAAATCGGCAGCACTGCATGTATGATGAACGGAAGGTCAGCTGAGGGAATGAGACCTCAGTGGAAAAAAACTGAAAATACCTCTGCCGATGTAATAGTGGGCAGTGGGGTGGAGAAGGCGGAGATAGATTCTGAATCTCCAAACCCTCCACACTGCAAACTCTTATGTGGCTGGAACTCAGGAGCAGCTTTCTCTGTCTGGATCAATTGTGGGACGTAATGAGAAGCCACGGTTGCACATGGGAGCGGTCCATACGCAAGATATGCAGACACAAAATCTAGGAGAGGAGAGACGCTGAAGATTCAGCAAGTGTGTTGAGTACTGGCGGGGTTATTAGAAGAAGAAAAACTATCCACAGAAACGCTCTTAAAAACACTCTGCCTGGAAAATGAACGAACGTATTTAAAGGTGAGAATCCCTCTGTGGCCTGGTTCAGATGATCATCAAAGACGGGAGCAGAGAGAAACCAGAACATCGGGCAGCAGAGCCGATAAACAAGCAGAAACAGCAAGTCTAATGATGGGAGCAGATCAGAAGTCATGCGATAAAGATGCGGCCTTTGATCAAGATTTACTCGCTGTGCACCTTCGGGACCTAACGTGGATTTGGACACAGTCTGAAGTTGAACTCTGTACACTTCCAAGCTCGCAGTGAGTATCGCAGCCAAAACAGAATGTATTTAAAGCGCTCACATTTGAAGAACGTGCCTGAAAATTGTGCTTTTGGAAATGCATACGTGCATCCCAAGACTGCCAATTTTTTTTAAAAAAGAAGAATTTCCTATTTGTGACATGGAGGGTGCAGTTCAGTAGGAACACAGGGGATGGCAGGAGTCCTGTGCAGAGCAGGAAAAGTAAAGAGGCAAAGCTCCTGAATGATGGACATTGGCCATCTAACTGCAGCACTTCATGGGGGGCAAAGGAAGTGGGGACCCCAACAGCATGTGCAATACCCCCCCATCACTGCCCCCTGGAATACCCCCAAACTGCTGCTCTGAGCTCACTCTTCAGCCAGTGCTGTTCTTTTAGCACCATCCAGAAGGCAGGAAAGGGGATCCAAGGACAGATTCCCAGCTCCACAGCCAGTCCTCCTGTCCAACCTCAGTGCTGGGAATGTGAAAAATCCTGCGGTTTGCTGGACGCACTCCAGGTATAAGATGCTCTTAAGCTCTCATACACAATGTACCCCTTTTTGGAGAACCACCTCTCCTGACTATATTTTCCATACAGACGGTCTGAGCTTCTTTCTCCAGACACTTCAGATTCGGAATCCTGCTCAGCCTGGCGAATTACTTACAAAGAGAATTAATTCAGATCGGGGGGATCGGTCCGATTCACTCACTGCATCTACAGCTCTGTACCTGTAAATGTTGTTACACGTGACACTGTGCAACAAGCATTTGGTGCACAGACTATACAGGTGTGCTTAGACTAGCTGCCACTGCCTCCAAGTGCGAAGAGCTGCCAGCCCAGGTTGGTGGCAACGTACTGTGAAGGGAAGCATGCAGGATCCGTCTTCACAAGGCTGTTGGGAGGATGAATGAGACAGAAACACAAGAGCCACTTAAGGCTTGCACGAGAGAGTGTCGTTCTTACAAGCTATTTTGGACTGGGGTCCAGATGACAAAACAGGAGCAGTTCAGCATGGCATCAGGTTTTGGCATTCAAGCCCAGCACCCAAGCCAAGGCCCCATCCTGCCTGGGGTTCCAAGCTGGCCCTCCAGGGGCTGCCCAATGACCAATTTCCCCCTCCCCGGCCCCCAAAACCTCTACTCCCCAGTTGCTGATGGTTGGTGGATTCCCAGCTTTGGTGCAGCATTTTCCCGCTTCAAAGGGGCAGAAGATCCTCTCCTAAGACCTTGTTGCTGGCAATCACAGCTTTAAGCTAAAATATAGTGGTTCAGTCAATCTTAAAGGAAATCAACCCTGACTGTGCTTTAGAAGGCTGGATACTGAAGATGAAACTCAAAGACTTTGGCCACCGAACAAGAAGGAAGGACTCGCTGGAGGAGATGCTGGTGCTGGGAACGACTGAAGGCAAAAGGAGAAGGGGGCAGCAGAGGATGAGGTGGCTGGATGGGGTCGCTGGGGTGGTGTATGTGGGCTTGGGGAGGGAGGAGGATAGGAAAGCTTGGGGGAATGTTGTCCATGGGGTTGGGCACGACTTAGTGACTAAACACACACACATAGTGGTAATTTATTTGAGCCAGTGTGGTGTAGTGGCTAAGAGCATGGGACTGGGACTCAGGCGACCTGGGTTCTAGTCCCCGCTCAGCCATGGAGACAACTGGGTGACTTTGGGCCAGACACAGACTCTCAGCCCAACCTACCTCACAGGGTTGTTGTTGTGGGGACAAGATGGAGGAGGAGAATGATGTAAGCTGCCTTGAGCCCTCTGAAGGAAAAAGGCAGGATATAAACCAATAAATAAATAAATAAATATTTCCCCTGGCCTTCTACCTTCAGCCTTCCCTGCTACCACCAGTGAAATCCAGTCTCAGAGACCTTCTCTGATAGTGAATTTGGAGAATGGAACCAGGTCTGGTCACTGGCTCCTTCGACCAGTGGAGGTTTGGAGGTTTAACATCAAGGTACTAATGGAAAGCTGTGGTGACATAAATGCAAAGAAGAAGAAGAAAAGCAAAGGTACAATGGTTTTGGCCTGTTCAAGGAAACTTTGGATACATTTCTCTTCAGCAGTATGTTCTGATGCCACAGGGATCTGTGAATTAGCAAAATTCAAGCCTTCTATGGTTCTCTGTAATGATGATTTTGTTCTGATTATTTTTGTACAGAATGTGAACTTAATTTTCAGCACATTTTCCCAAACATGCACATACATTCTGCAAAGTTTTGAAATCCGTCTAACTTCTATTGATAAAGTTAGTTTGTGTATGTTTTCCGAAGATATGCATTTTGCATGCCCTTTTAACATGCTTTTTTAGATTCCTCTTTTGGTTCTGCAAAACTCAAACTTGAATTGCAGATTGCACTCACATATGCTTTCACTCTGATCAGTGCAAATAGGGTAAATCCTGGTAAAACAAAAAAACCTGATTTCTCATGCATCTACTGCATGCAGATACTGAAAGAGGAAAGCAGGAGATAACAAAGGAAGAAAAGGTTTTCAAACACAGTTCACAATGCCTGAGGTCCAAACCAGAGGCAGGGGTATGCAAATTCCAGGTGGAGGGAACAAACCTGTGATCCTAAGCACAGTTGACTTTTGGATCTAGGTACATGTGCATAAATATACTGGGATTTCTTAGACCTCCAGAGAAGAAAATTATTCAGTGAGGATCAAACCGATACCTAAAGGTTGGTATCCATGTCTTGAAGGGCCCCCAAAGGTGTTTCGGCTTCCAAATCCACTCCCATCAATGGAACCATAAGACATCTTCTTCCAGATGGTTCTGGAAGCAAGCTTCCTTTAAAAGCTACAAGGGAAAGAAAAGACGCAATATTAGCAAAGCAGACCGTTGAACAAATGTGGAAAGCAGCAGAGGTCACAAATGGGTAACACCGCCTCTGTATCGGCTGAGCGAGAGCCAACTCACAGCAGCATCTACGAGACAGACGGAGCACGTACTGAACTTTTCCCTGCTGGATCGCATTCACGATTAATCTTCCTTTGTTGTGAGAGCCAGTGTGGCGTCGTAGTGAAGAGCGTGGGACTGGGACTCAGACGATCCGGGTTCTAGTCCCCGCTCAGCCATGGAGCAACTGAGTGACTTTGGGCCAGTCACAGACTCTCAGCCCAACCTACCGCGCAGGGTTGTTGTTGTGGGGATCAGATGGAGGAGGAGAATGATGTAGGCTGCCTTGAGCCCTTTGGGGGAAAAGGCAGGATATAAATCGTATGAATGAATGAATGAATTAATGTTGAAGAGGGACCGTTCCCGTGCTGGAAGCGACTGCATCCAGCCATCCAGTCACGGAGATCCCCCAACCCCTGTCTCCCAAAGGCATCCCCATTGTGGAGAAAGGTATTCAAGCCTCCTCTGGCACTAGGAGAGGAAGCCCCGTGGTGAGTGGGCCAAAGCGCGGGGGGCGTCCTCAACCAGCAGCAGAGAAACAGTGCCACTCGTCCACCTTGGCACGGGGAAGGGAGCAAGCCATGAAAGAGGAACCTCTGCAGGCCGGGGGGCTGTCAAGAATAGGACAACTGGGGGACACACATGCATAGGGTCCCCAGAAGGTAGAGAAAACATTAAAATACATCACGATGACCAAGTCTAGCTCTTGTTACCATCCAACTAGCAGCTGCTCTTCCACATCTTGGGCAGCTGTCTCTCTTGGCCCTTGACCACCAATCCTTGAGCTAGAAATATCACAGGGAATAGCACCTGCACCTCCCTCCCTCCCTCCCTCCCTCCCTCTGCAGGAATTTAGCAAATAAACATCAAGGATCCCAGAGTCAGATTCTACATGAAAATGGCAAGACTGCCTACACACAGCACTTGGTGTCCTACCACTGAGCTGCGTGGAACCGGTGGATGGGAGCTCAAAAGTGACGGCATCTTCAGCAGAGTTTATTTTCAAGGCGCGAAGGCTAGTCCTTGGTTAACCAGCCCCTCACTCTCTTTCTCTCTCTCTCCTCTTTCTTTGGGTAGGATTACACATACAGACCCAAGGCTCAATTCTCCTTAGAGACAATGGCTTCAGGCTACATATGAAAGCTTCAAACTCAAGTGAAAATTACTGTGGCAGTTAGCAAGGGAGATAATTCTTGACGTACCAGCAAAATGTTCACCACATTTTCCCAACAGAAAATGGGGGGGGGGGGATGCAGAAACAGATCCCTAGCTTAAAGGAGAGTCTCAGAATCACAGGATAGCAGAGCTGGAAGGGGCCATGAAGGCCATCCGGTCCACCCCCTGCTGTTGCAGGACACCAACTTCCACCATCCCACTCAGAGGGCTGCCCAGTTTCTCCTTGAATGCCCCCAGTGTGGGACAGCCCACCACCTCCCCAGGCAGCTGGTTCCACTATCATATTTCTCTGACTTGAGGAAGCTTTTCCTGATATCCAGCCTGGATCTGGGTTGTCGCAACTTGACTTGATTATTCCGTGTCCTGCACTCTGGCATCAGCAAGAAGAGATCTTGACCTTCCTCTTTTTGACAGCCTTTGAGGGACTTCTAGAGGGAGACCATGTCCCACCCTCAGTCTTCTCTTCTCAAGGCTGAACATGCCCAGTTCTCTGTCTCTCCTCATAGGGCAGTGCTTCAAAACCCTGGGTCATTTTTGTTGCCCTCCGCTGGGCCTTTCCAATTTACCTGCATTTTCCTTAAATATTGGTGCCCAGAACCGGACACAGTATTCCAGGTGAGGTCTGACCAGTGAGGTGTATAGAGGAACTACTACTTCTCGTGATTTGGAAGTAATACTTCTGTAAATGCATCCCAAAATAGCATTTGCCCTTTTGGATCGTGTTTACCCTGTTGTCCACAATGACTCCGAGGTCTTTTTCTTTTTTGGTTCTGCTGAGCCACGTGTTCCCCATCTTGCATTGATGCCTTTGGTTTCTTATTCCTAAGTGGAGGACTTGGCACTTGTCCTTGTTGAATCTCATTCTGCTGCTTTCAGCCCAGTGTTCAAGTTTATCTAGATCGCCCTGCATCTTCGTTCTGTCTTCTAGGGCATTTGCTATTCCACCCAGCTTTGTATTTTCTGATTATCTTTCCCTGTACTTCCTCATTTGAATCATTAATAAAGATGTTGAAGAGCACTGGGCCCAGAACTAAACCCTGCAGCACCCAACTACCATATTTTTCGCTCAATAAGACACGCCTGAACATAAGATGCACCTAGTTTTTAGAGGAGGAAAACAAGAAAAAAAATATTCTGAATCAAATGGGCACATAATCACAGGCACATTCCCCATCACTTCCCCATGGGCTGCACATCTGACAGACTTGCTGCACACACACATTCGCTCTATAAGACGCACAGACATTTCCCCTTACTTTTGAGGGGGGGAAAAGTGCGTCTTATAGAGCAAAAAATACGGTAATTACCTCCATCCAGTTTGAGAAGGAGCCATTGATGAGCACTCTTTGTGTCCAATTTAGCAGCCAATTTTGGATTCACTTAACGATTTCTCTATCTAGTCCACTTTTTGCTAACTTGCTTATCAGAATGTCATGGGGTACTATATGGAAAGCTTTGCTAAAGTCTAGGTAGACTATGGCCACAGTGTTCTCTCTGACCGTTTGGGAGGTTACCCAGTCAAAAAAGGAGATTTAATTAGTTTGACAGGATGTATTTTTTATAAATCCATGTTGGCTTCTATGAATCACTGCAGTTTTTTCAAGATGCTTGCAGATGAATTGTTTAATAATTTGCTCCAGAGATTGATGTCAGACTAACCAGGCTGTCACTGTAGGAGGACTGATCAATCTTATAAGCATGTTTACTCAGAAGCAAGCCCTGATGGAGTTCAGTCAGGCTTGCTTTCAAATAAAATTGTAAAACAGGCCCTTTTTTGTTACAGGGTTGCTCCCCAAAATGCACAAGCATTGAGGCAAAGGGAGACAAGGAACAACGATGGGATATAGAAAACAATGCACCTCCAGGCATCTGATCTGCAACACTTATTTGAAATGCAAATTTGTTTCTGCAGACAAGCATCCCAGTGAAGGCTCCTTGCCCAATGGAGACAAAAGGACCCATTTTCCGTATCCATGTTTAAAGAAACATAAGAATCTACCTTGCCACATGGCCTTGGGGAACTTTATAGATATAGATAGATATTTCAAACGGAATAAAAACATGCCCATCAGTACATGTCAACACTCAAGCAAACACAAAGCCGCAAAGTGGCAGTGACCTCCCTCAATACAGTCTGCGGTTGTTAAGTGACATCAAGACCTCTCCTACTTGGGGTGACCCTAGGAATGGAACCCCTCGGAAATGCCCTCTCATGACAGCCCTGCTCTGCTCTGTCCAATTCGAGGCTGTGGCTTCCTTGACAGAGTCCGTCCCTCTCATGGTTCGTCTTTCTTTTCTCCTTCTGCCTTCAACACTCCCTTGCATGATCATCTTCTCCAGGGACTCCGGACTTCCCATGATGTGCCTCAAGGAGATCGCCCTCAGTTTTGTCATCTTTGCTTTTAGGGAAAGCTCTGGCTTGACTTGATCCAGGATCCCCTTGTTTGTCTCTTTGTTGGTCCAGCGTACTCACAATGCTCTCCAACAGCAGCATGTTTCACATGCATCCATTTTCTTCCTTCCAGCCAATGAAGTCTAGGAAGAACAAATACCCCCTCGAGTTGTGTTCAGGGACAGAATCCTTCTGCTTTGCTCTTGGCCAACAGAGTGGAACATCCACAACAAGGAGGCAGAGGGGTAAAGGCCTGTCCCCTCCACCCAAGATCTGTGCATCAGAAAATTTAAATCTGTCCTGGTTCGAGGCACTGGGAAATCCCTGGGTGAGGTCCTTTCCGTGCCCTCCCTCCTCACCTCCCCTGTGATTCCTGACCTTCCGGAGGGCTCTTGCTGGATGTCTTGTGCTAGGTGACAGATGCTTCTCATTCCATTTCATTACTTCTTTTCATTTCTGTCCAACCCAAAAGCCAATGCTCTCTTGGTGCTTTAGGAAGACTGAAAACCTTAGAAAGGCAGGGGTGTGTGTAGTATTGAAGCAGTTTAGCTACAAAAATAGTCAAGCCCATGTGTGTGCATATTCAAACAATACCCCATGATTTAAATCTCATCATACGCTGCCAAACAAGATGGACTCCATCAGGAACTGCGGTTCTAAGCCAGGCAAAACTGGCACCTTGAACTGGACTCAGTCAGTGAAGTGAGCCAGAATCAGTGTTGTTTGTTCAGCCCTTCTTGTCCTTCTAATTCAGCTCGCACATTTTTGCATAAGCTGTGGCCTCCTCCTCCTCCTCCTCCTCCAGGCCTTCACCACCTTCAGGTAAGGGAGCAGGACCTCTCCCCTCCGACAAGGAGCAGCAAGACGAAGGGCATCCAATGGCCAGCACTGAGATTCCAGTTGAAATACGGGGCCCACCGATGCCTGCCCTCAACACTGATCCCGAGCATTGGCAGCTGAGCTCTGCTGGCTGTTGCTGCATCTCCGGAGACTCCCAAATAAAGATGGGGTGTGCCCAGGAGTGTTTGCTTTACCTATCTGAATGTGGAATCAGGATTTTCATGGTCAGGTCTTCCCTAGACATTACCAAGTTGTGCTGACCTGGGCAGGCAATATGGAAGCCTGCTGAATCTAAAGATGTTCTCCCATTGAGTAAGGTCCTTCCCAAGAGCTCTGTAGTTCCACAGAGTATGTGAAGAGCTTGAAACCGGAAATCACAGCCTTCTGGTTCCCCCACCAGTTGCACAGAGACACAGAGAAAGCTAAAAACCAGAACCAATATTTTGAACATAGAACAGAATGTTCTAACACTAGAGTCCTATCAGAAGACAAG